TTTTATTCACTTTACTGTTATTCAAATGTATTCATTTTTTCTAGGAATCTAAGCCACACTAACAGCCCGCTTATATATATATATATATATATATATATATATATATATATATATATATATATATATATATATATATATCTAATATATAAAGCTCAGTTCTGTAACGTGAGGCAAAAAGGTTTGTCGTTGACACTTCTATGGATTTAAGTGTTAGATTTTTTTATCGTGCTCATAGTCTAAATTTACGAGTCAAAAAAATTACCATTGAAAGTCTTTAAAAACAATTTTCATTCTATTTACTTAGAAGAATAATTTTCAATTATGAACACGACATAAAATTTTTAAAAAGTGTATCGACGTTTATAAAATTTCTAAAATTGTGTCGGAAATGTATTGACTGCACAGTTACTTCCCTTTAATAAAAAAAATTCTTAAGAAGAAAGAATTTACATTTTATTACTTTGTTTTTGGTGTTAAGAAAAAATAAATAATTACATAATTAGCGGGGATTGATTAAGTGCAATGTCGTTAGGTATTTTTAACACTGCCTTTTATTTATTCTATACACTGAACATACTGTTCAATATATTTTTTTTTTAAATCAATAACATTTAATAAGCCAGGTCCTACAAATCCTATATGTTTATTTCTTTCCATTTACGGATAAGCTTGGAGTATTATCATTTTTGTTCACTAAATTGAAACAGGCGCGTCCGCCGGCGCCCTTGCACGGTTCGATTTGGCACCCTGGGCTATCATGTGAGCGCTATGCTGCATAGTTTTGTTTTTAACAGTGCGATAGACTATGGGTAAGAAAGGTTACTATAGTCTTTAAGTGAATCAAATCCGGGCGTCCTCCGGCACCCCGACAGGGTGCTATTTGGCGCCCCGGGCCTTCCGGTGTACGCTATGGTATCTACGTTCGCGTGAGTTCAAAAGACTATGAATAAGTTATGTACTATAGTCGTTTACTAAGTTCAATCAGGCGGTGACGTCATGGTGCGTCCTCTGGCGCCCAGACAGGGTGCTATTTGGGTTTCCCGGGCCTCCCGTGTTCGGTTTCGCGCCTACGTTCATTAAAGTGAGTGCAAAAGACTATGAATAAGTTGGGGTACTATAGTCGTTTATTAAGTTGAAACAGGCGATTCCGCCCTGGGCTAGACTCTGAGCACTGTGCGTTTATGTTCGCGTTAGTGTTTTCTTTGTGTTTAGGTTGGGTTTGCGTTAGTGGTTGCGTTTTGATTTGGTTCGTTTTTGTTCTTTCTTTTTTCGTTTTCGTTTGTGTTTTATTTTCTTTGCGTTTGTGTTTGTATTTGTGTTTGTGGTTGGTTTTGCGTTTGTATTTGGTTTGTTTTCGTTTGTTTTTTCGTTTGTGTTTTTTTCTTTGGGTTTGTGGTTGGTTTTGCATTTGGCTTTGGTTTGTTTTCGTTTGCTTTTTCGTTTGTTTTTTTCTTTTTGTTCGTATTGGTGTTTGTGGTTGTGGTTGGGTTAGTTGTTAGGTTTTTGTTTTCGTTTGTATTTGTAATTGTGTTAGCGTTATGTTTGCGTTTTGTTGTTTTGGTTTTGGTTTGGGTGTGCAATGCCGGGTTTATGATGATTACTAAACACACAGAAAGGTTTTTCACAGAAGCCAGAGAAGGGCCTGGCCGGGACGGCTAGTATATATATAAAGCTCAATTCTGTAACGCATATGTTTGTCGTTGGCATTTCTACGGATTTAAGTGTTAGATCAATTATCGTGCGCAGTTGTCTAAATTTATGAGTTAAAAAATTACTATTAAAAGTGTTGGGAAATCATTTTCATTTTTCAAATTATAGTAATAATTGTCGGCATGTTCATTAAACACAAGTTTTAAAAAAAATATCATCTTTTACAAAAATTCTAATTATGTCTTTCTTTAGTCCTATAGCGCTTACTTCCCTTTGATAAATAAGGCAAACACAATTACTTCCCTTTATAAAACCATAGCATTAGTTGAAAAGCATTTACTTTTTAATTACTTTGTTTTGGTGTTGGGAAAAAAATAATTACATAATTAGCGGGGATTGATCAAGTGCAAATGTTGTAGGTATTTTACGGATAAGCTTGGAGTATTATAATTGTTCATTAAATTGAAACAGGCGCGTTCGTTTAAGTGAGTGCAAAAACTATGAATAAGTTGGGGTACTATAGTCGTTTATTAAGCTAAAACAGGCGATTCTGCCCCGGGCGTTTATGTTCGCGTTAGTGTTTTCTTTGTGTTTAGGTGGGTTTGCGTTAGTGGTTGCGTTTTGATTTGGTTCGTTTTTGTTCTTTCTTTTTTCGTTTTTGTTTGTGTTTTTTTTTGTTTGGGTTTGTATTTGTGTTTTTGGTTGGTTTTGCGTTTGGATTTGGTTTGTTTTCGTTTGCTTTTTCGTCGTTTTTTTTTTGGTATTGGTGTTTGTGGTTGGGTTTGTTGTTAGGTTTTTGTTTTCGTTTGTTTTTTCTTTGTGTTTGTATTGGTGTTTGTGGTTGTGGTTGGGTTTGTTGTTAGGTTTTTGTTTTCGTTTGTATTTCTAATTGTGTTAGCGTTATGTTTGCGTTTTGTTGTTTTGGTTGGTTGTGGTTTGGGTGGGCAATGCCGGGTTTATGATGATTTCTAAACACACAGGTAATGGTCTTTAACGGAAAGGTTTTTCACAGAAGCCAGAGCAGGGCCTGGCCGGGACGGCTAGTATATATATATATATATATATATATATATATATATATATATATATATATATATATATATATAACGGCCAGTGACAAAACGGCCCCGTCAATATGACCCCGACAAATCGGCCCAGACATTAGAGCCCCGCCAAATCGACCCCGTCAAAAGGGCCAGCGACATATGGACCCCGTCATATAGGCTGCCGACAAATAGGCTCCCGTCATATATGCTCCCGACAAAAGGGCTCCAGTCAATAAGGCTCCCGACATATAGGCTCCCGTCATTTAGTTTCTCCACAAAACGGCTCCCGTCATTACGACTCGCGACATATATGCTCCTGTCATTTTGGCTTACGACAAATAGGCTCTTGTCAATTTGACTCCCGACAAAAGGACCACTGACAATACGGTTTCTGTATAGACTAAGTCTCCCGGCAAAACGTCCTCATGAATATGACACCTACCAGTGGGACCCATTCATCAATATTCTTTAGTTTGCTTATCCAAAACTCTTTAGGAATACAAAGTTTGCATCTCTTGTTCGGCTGGCCTTATTTTTATAATAGTTTATCTATTATAAGAAATAGTATGTTTTAATTTAAGGGTTATCTATCTATGACTTCCAAAAATGGGTCGATTATAGACTGTTTCAACTCCAGTGTGTGGGGAGAGGGGTCCACGCTGTACGGGAGCCGGACGTTTTCCCGAAAGACACTTGCCCGAATGCCGTTTGCCCGAAGGCCGATTACCCGAATGGACACCTGCCCGAATGCGACAAATGCCCGAATGGGCACTTGCCCGAATGCGACTAACGCCCGAATGGACACTTGCCCGAATGCGACAAATGCCCGAATGGACACTTGCCCGAATGCGACAAATGCCCGAATGGACACCTGCCCGAATGCGACAAATGCCCGAATGGGCACTTGCCCGAATGCGACTAACGCCCGAATGGACACTTGCCTGAATGCGACAAATGCCCGAATGGACACTTGCCCGAATGCGACAAATGCCCGAATGGACACTTGCCCGAATGCGACAAATGCCCGAATGGACACTTGCCCGAATGCGACAAATGCCCGAAAGCCACTTCGGGCAAACGGCATTCGGGCAAGTAGACCCACGCTGTACATCACTACCTGCAGTATACTTGTAGTATACTTGTAGTATACTTGTAGTATACTTGTAGTATACTTGTAGTATACTTGTAGTATACTTGTAGTATACTTGTAGTATACTTGTAGTATACTTGTAGTATACTTGTAGTATACTTGTAGTATACTTGTAGTATACTTGTAGTATACTTGTAGTATACTTGTAGTATACTTGCATATATGTCGTTATCCTGTAAACATCATTTACATCATACATTTACACTTCTGTGCACGCCTTTAAGCAACAGATATTTTCTGTTGTAAATTAAACATTATCACAATTTTAGAATTGTTGGTATCTAGCTGTTAAGGGTTAAATTTGTTCCTTCATGAAAAACAATTTCATGAAGGCATTTAAAAGAGATTATAGTGGTAGTGGATGTAGGACAAAATGGCTACTTTTATGCCAATAGTGGTAATCAGAGGCGTAGCGAGGGGGAGGGGGCGGGGGGGGTGCGGACCGCACCGGGTGACACCATTAGGGGGTGACACCAAGGCGAAAAATAGCAAAATATATAGAGAAAAATGATAGTGTTTTAAGAGGTGCAAATTGAAAGTTTGAGGGGGGGGGGGGGGGGTGCAAATCGAAAATTGAAAGTTTGTCCCCAGTAAGTGTCGCTACCCCTCTGGGGGGTGACACTATTAAGTGCCGCACCGGGTGACACCCGACCTCGCTACGCCGCTGATGGTAATACGATTCATTTGTCTCTAGCCAATATGTCGGGAGCTCTTTTGTCGGTAGCCGATATGTCGTGAGCCCTTATGTCGGGAGCCTATTTGTCGCGAGTCATAATGACGGGAGCTCATTTGACAGGAGCCAATAAATCTTTGATTGGCTGTTATTCTTATTCTGCAAGTTTGTGAAAAAAACGAAATAAAATGGCTTTGGCTTTTATTTTAAATACTGTCAAACATTTAAATATTTTGTCTCCCATTTGAATATTTCATCGGGCATAATAATTTGATTCCTTTTAATCTGAAAAAGTATAATGAAATAGTAAAAAACAAAAATACCCAATCGTTATCTCCCGGCTGACCAATTAACCGTTCATTATGGTTTTAATGCAACTGAGTACTGAATAAATTAGCCTTACTTTTTCACTAACCCTAACCCTTGGATAGAAGTCTAAGCCTCAAATAACCCTATCCTAATAACCCTAACACAATTGCAGGAGAATGCAGATCTTCGAGACAGAACTGTGCACCACAGTGGACGCTATATTAAACATCCTGGGACACAAGCCACGGATGACCAAGGACGCCCTAGACCAAATCGCCCCTGTATCCCCCGCTCCCAGGGGTCAGAGGTCATGTCGGAAAAGAAGTTTTAAACTTGCAAAGTCATCCAACGAATTGTAGAGTTAAAGAACTGTGTGTGGCTTGACAGTAGCACGATTGGATATTTTACAGTGTGATAGCAATAAAAAGATATTTTGCTGTGTAATAGCAATAAAGAGTCAAAGTTAGAATGAGTAGATAGAATTACAACCTAGGTATTGTAAGTTTGCCAATGTATATAAAGATTTAGAATTTGATATTGTAATAGAAATATGTGTAAGATACTAGATGCTATTTATTGTAGATCTATAAGAGTCAAATTTTTTAACATGTTTACATTGTTAATATAGGATTGTTCTGTGTTTTTCGCGTAAAAATAAAAACTGTTGATATTAAAGCTCTAGCCTTGGGTGTGTTTATTTATATACATTAATGTATATATATATATATATATATAGGTCTATATACATATCTAAATATATATACACTGTTGATATAAAACTGTTGATATTAAAGCTCTAGCCTTGGGTGTGTTTATTTATATACATTAATGTGTATATATATATATATATATATATATATATATATATATATATATATATATATATATATATATATATATATAGGTCTATATACATATCTAAATATATATATACATATATATATATATATATATATATATATATATATATATATATATATATATATATATATATCTGTGTATGCTAGAATGACTTGGTCGTGACGGCCAAATCTTGTGTTGAGAACATTTATTGCCTAAAGTTGGCTAGAGACATATGAAAGACAAAAATCTAATGGCACCAACAACTTATGGTTTAGACTGCCACTCCAAGACTGGCATGATCAGCAATTCTAGAGCCTGCACACACAAAATAAACTCTTCTATGTCATGCTCCTGCCTTCCCTGCCGAGCCCCCGTCTTTCCTGCCATCACACTATTCACTGTGCCAGTTTTTAGTCAACAACAAACTTTATCCTTCAACATTTTATTTAGACTTTCTATAAAGTATGACATCATTTGCAAGAAATGAATACAAACACAAGATCTGACTATGAACATAAGTTAATTTAATCTCACAAGATCAGACTATGAACATACATTAAACTTTCATCTCACAAGATCAGACTATGAACATACATTAAACTTTCATCTCACAAGATCAGACTATGAACATACATTAAACTTTCATCTCACAAGATCAGACTATGAACATACATTAAACTTTCATCTCACAAGATCTGACTATGAACTTAAGTTAATTTAATCTCACAAGATCAGACTATGAACATACATTAAACTTTCATCTCACAAGATCAGACTATGAACATACATTAAACTTTCATCTCACAAGATCTGACTATGAACATACATTAAACTTTCATCTCACAAGATCTGACTATGAACATAAACATTCATCTCACAAAGATCAGACTATGAACATACATTAAACTTTCATCTCACAAGATCTGACTATGAACATACGTTAAACTTTCATCTCACAAGATCAGACTATGAACATAAACTTTCATCTCACAAGATCAGATTATGAAAATACATTAAACTTTCATCTCACAAGATCTGACTATGAACATAAACATTCATCTCACAAGATCAGACTATGAACATACATTAAATTTTCATCTCACAAGATCTGACTATGAACATAAACATTAATCTCACAAGATCAGACTATGAACATACATTAGACTTTCATCTCACAAGATCTGACTATGAACATAAACTTTCATCTCACAAGATCTGACTATGAACATAAACTTTCATCTCACAAGATCTGACTATGAACATAAACATTCATCTCACAAGATCAGACTATGAACATACATTAAACTTTCATCCCACAAGATCAGACTATGAACATAAACATTCACCTCACAAGATCAGACTATGAACATACGTTAGACTTTCATCTCACAAGATCAGACTATGAACATACGTTAGACTTTCATCTCACAAGATCTGACTATGAACATAAACTTTCATCTCACAAGATCTGACTATGAACATACATTAAACTTTCATCTCACATGATCTGACTATGAACATAAACATTCATCTCACAAGATCAGACTATGAACATACGTTAGACTTTCATCTCACAAGATCAGACTATGAACATACGTTAGACTTTCACTCTACAAGATCTGACTATGAACATACGTTAGACTTTCACTCTACAAGATGTCACTAGCCAAATGACAACTAGAGCTGAGCTCTAAAGTTGAGTACATAGGGCAACAAGCGAGGTGTGATGAGGCAGTCTAAAACTTGAGGTTGCCTATGCTGGGCAGGTCTGGTAGTTTAATGTCTTTAATTTTTTGTGGAATGTTCATTTCCTTGACTGCGGAGACCGCCCTGGCAGGTGCTGCTGATATCCCAGCCTGAAATAGAAGATTCCAGACTTTTACACTAGCCACATATCCTCAACATGGCTTATTACCTATGACGTTCTAATAGATTTTTATACAACCTCTGAATATGTACAATTTAAGCCCACAACTCAAACACTAACCCCAACACTAACCCCAACACTAACCCCAACACTAACCCCAACACTAACCCCAACACTAACCCCAACACTAACACTAACCCCAACACTAACACTAACCCCAACACTAACCCCAACACTAACCCCAACACTAACCCCAACACTAACCCCACACTAACCCCAACACTAACCCCAACACTAACCCCAACACTAACCCCAACACTAACCCCAACACTAACCCCAACACTAACCCCAACACTAACCCCAACACTAACACTAACCCCAACACTAACACTAACCCCAACACTAACCCCAACACTAACCCCAACACTAACCCCAACACTAACCCCAACACTAACCCCAACACTAACCCCAACACTAACCCCAACACTAACCCCAACACTAACCCCAACACTAACCCCAACACTAACCCCAACACGAACCCCAACACTAACCCCAACACTAACCCTAACCCCAACACTAACCCCAACACTAACCCCAACACTAACCCCAACACTAACCCCAACACTAACCCCAACACTAACCCCAACACTAACACTAACCCCAACACTAACCCCAACACTAACCCCAACACTAACCCCAACACTAACCCCAACACTAACCCCAACACTAACCCCAACCCTAACCCCAACACTAACCCCAACACTAACCCCAACACTAACCCCAACACTAACCCCAACACTAACCCCAACACTAACCCCAACACTAACCCCAACACTAACCCCAACACTAACCCCAACACTAACCCCAACACTAACCCCAACACTAACACTAACCCCAACACTAACACTAACCCCAACACTAACCCCAACACTAACCCCAACACTAACCCCAACACTAACCCCAACACTAACCCCAACACTAACCCCAACACTAACCCCAACACTAACCCCAACACTAACCCCAACACTAACCCCAACACTAACCCCAACACTAACCCCAACACTAACCCCAACACTAACACTAACCCCAACACTAACCCCAACACTAACCCCAACACTAACCCCAACACTAACCCCAACACTAACCCCAACACTAACCCCAACACTAACCCCAACACTAACCCCAACACTAACCCCAACACTAACCCCAACACTAACCCCAACACTAACCCCAACACTAACCCCAACACTAACCCCAACACTAACCCCAACACTAACCCCAACACTAACCCTAACCCTAACCCCAACACTAACCCCAACACTAACCCCAACACTAACCCCAACACTAACCCCAACACTAACCCCAACACTAACCCCAACACTAACCCCAACACTAACCCCAACACTAACCCCAACACTAACCCCAACACTAACCCCAACACTAACCCCAACACTAACCCCAACACTAACCCCAACACTAACCCCAACACTAACCCCAACACTAACCCCAACACTAACCCCAACACTAACCCCAACACTAACCCCAACACTAACCCCAACACTAACCCTAACCCTAACCCCAACACTAACCCCAACACTAACCCCAACACTAACCCCAACACTAACCCCAACACTAACCCCAACACTAACCCCAACACTAACCCCAACACTAACCCCAACACTAACCCCAACACTAACCCCAACACTAACCCCAACACTAACCCCAACCCCAACACTAACCCCAACACTAACCCCAACACTAACCCCAACACTAACCCCAACACTAACCCCAACCCTAACCCCAACACTGACCTCAACACTAACCCCAAACTTTTCATTTTGGCTCTTGACCATACATTTCCAAATGTGAAAATTAATACTACTATATAGGTAGTAGCTACAAGTAGTGTGGAGATGTTACAAGTAGTGTGGAGATGTTACAAGTAGTGTGGAGATGTTACAAGTAGTGTGGAGATGTTACAAGTAGTGTGGAGATGTTACAAGTAGTGTGGAGATGTTACAAGTAGTGTGGAGATGTTACAAGTAGTGTGGAGATGTTACAAGTAGTGTGGAGATGTTACAAGTAGTGTGGAGATGTTACAAGTAGTGTGGAGATGTTACAAGTAGTGTGGAGATGTTACAAGTAGTGTGGAGATGTTACAAGTAGTGTGGAGATGTTACAAGTAGTGTGGAGATGCTAAGGGTAGTAGTACTAATGGCTGTTAAACACACTTTAATAAACTCTGGAATAAAATGATAAATTATCAGTGGCTATCCTTTGTAAAATTGAAAGAGACAAGGCCACCCTAGCTAATGACAATCCAGGGCCAGAGGTTAAGACAATCATTATATCATCCCTGAGCAATCAAGACACAATACATATTGCAGGAAATAAATAGAAGCATGTTTCAAGGTTAAACAAGAGCATCAAGTCAAGCATGAGTTAGCATGTTTAAAGGTTAAACAAGAGCATCAAGTCAAGCATGAGTTAGCATGTTTCAAGGTTAAACAAGAGCATCAAGTCAAGCATGAGTTAGCATGTTTCAAGGTTAAACAAGAGCATCAAGTCAAGCATGAGTTAGCAGTGAAATAAAGCATGAATCAGCAGGCAAACCAAGCATGAATCAGCAGGCAAACCAAGCATGAATCAGCAGGCAAACCAAGCATGAATCAGCCGGTAAATAAAGCATGAGTCAGTAGTTAAATCAAGCATGCGTCGCTGCGTCAGTAGTTAAACCAAGCATGAGTCAGTAGTTAAACCAAGCATGAGTCAGGAGGCAACCAAGCATGAGTCAGTAGTTAAACCAAGCATGAGTCAGCAGGCAACCAAGCATGCATCAGTAGTTAAACCAAGCATGAGTCAGTAGTTAAATCAAGCATGAGTCGCTGCGTCAGTAGTTAAACCAAGCATGAGTCAGCAGTTAAACCAAGCATGAGTCTGTAGGAAAGCGTGGAACAGGTGTATAAAGATTCTTGCCTTAGAACCTCACACCTTTAGGTAGAAAGATAGACTGGTGTTTCTGTTGACCCTGGATGCCATCAAGTTCAAGGTCATCTGTTTGACCATAAATGCCAGCATTTCCCCCAATTTTGTGCACAACTCCCACCAGATGAGCTCTAGTCTGATTGGCAGGTCAATGCCAAAATGGGGGTCAAAAGTCGTAACATTAAAACCAACGTACAGTACTTAACCGGCTAAAGTTACATGTATCATTGCATTTGAATTAACAATGGTCAAATAGTTTTCTTTAGCCCACACTGAAACTTATTTCAAGAAAAGACATCCCTGTCATTTCCCCAGCTAACTGTCCAATCAAGTTGATTTAAGAAATGACATCCCTGTCATTCCCCCAGCTAACTGTCCAATCAAGTTGATTGAAGAAATGACATCCCTGTCATTCCCCAGCTAACTGTCCAATCAAGTTACTTAGGTTGCCCTTCTTGTCAAGGTTTAGTGTGGCTGCTTGATCAATCTTTATGTAGTGTTTGTAGGTTCATTCATTCTAACCCAATTAGTTAGGTGATTACGTGACTAACCTTGAATTATTCATTGTCTGATACATTTTCTTAAATGAACACTTAATCTATTATTATTTTAGTATGTAGTGATTGCAGAAATTTTTAGAACCCAAAACTTTAAAGAGGACAGAGCACAACACCAAAAACAGGCAAAACCCTAGTACAGAAATAAATTATTAAATGGTTTTCAGGGTTAGGGTTAAGTTAGGTGAGTGTTGAGTGCAGAAAAACCTAATACATCACACAAACCTGTTTCACTGACCACACCAACCTGTTTCACTGACCACACCAACCTGTTTCACTGACCACACCAACCTGTTTCACTGACCACACCAACCTGTTTCACTAACCACACCAACCTCCACACCAACCTGTTTCACTGACCACACCAACCTGTTTCACTGACCACACCAACCTCCACACCAACCTGTTTCACTGACCACACCAACCTCCACACCAACCTGTTTCACTGACCACACCAACCTGTTTCACTGACCACACCAACCTGTTTCACTGACCACACCAACCTGTTTCACTGACCGCACCAACCTGTTTCACTGACCACACCAACCTGTTTCACTGACCACACCAACCTGTTTCACTGACCACACCAACCTGTTTCACTGACCACACCAACCTCCACACCAACCTGTTTCACTGGCCACACCAACCTGTTTCACTGACCACACCAACCTGTTTCACTGACCACACCAACCTGTTTCACTGACCACACCAACCTGTTTCAATGACCACACTAACCTGTTTCACTGACCACACCAACCTGTTTCACTGACCACACAAACCTGTTTCACTGACCACACCAACCTGTTTCACTGACCACACAAACCTCCACACCAACCTGTTTCACTGACCACACCAACCTGTTTCACTGACCACACAAACCTTCACACCAACCTGTTTCACTGACCACACCAACCTCCACACCAACCTGTTTCACTGACCACACCAACCTGTTTCACTGACCACACCAACCTGTTTCACTGACCACACAAACCTGTTTCACTAACCACACAAACCTGTTTCACTGACCACACCAACCTGTTTCACTGACCACACCAACCTGTTTCACTGACCACACCAACCTCCACACCAACCTGTTTCACTGACCACACCAACCTGTTTCACTAACCGCACCAACCTGTTTCACTGACCACACCAACCTGTTTCACTGACCACACCAACCTCCACACCAACCTGTTTCACTGACCACACCAACCTGTTTCACTGACCAAACCAACCTGTTTCACTGACCATACCAACTTGTTTCACTGACCACACCAACCTCCACACCAACCTGTTTCACTGACCACACCAACCTCCACACCAACCTGTTTCACTAACCACACCAACCTCCACACCAACCTGTTTCACTGGCCACACCAACCTCCACACCAACCTGTTTCACTAACCACACCAACCTCCACACCAACCTGTTTCACTGACCACACCAACCTCCACACCAACCTGTTTCACTGACCGCACCAACCTGTTTCACTGACCACACCAACCTGTTTCACTGACCACACCAACCTGTTTCACTGACCAAACCAACCTGTTTCACTAACCGCACCAACCTGTTTCACTGACCACACCAACCTGTTTCACTGACCACACCAACCTCCACACCAACCTGTTTCACTAACCACACCAACCTCCACACCAACCTGTTTCACTGACCACACCAACCTGTTTCACTAACCACACCAACCTCCACACCAACCTGTTTCACTGACCGCACCAACCTGTTTCACTGACCACACCAACCTCCACACCAACCTGTTTCACTGACCACACCAACCTCCACACCAACCTGTTTCACTGACCACACCAACCTCCACACCAACCTGTTTCACTAACCACACCAACCTCCACACCAACCTGTTTCACTGACCACACCAACCTGTTTCACTAACCACACCAACCTCCACACCAACCTGTTTCACTGACCGCACCAACCTGTTTCACTGACCACACCAACCTCCACACCAACCTGTTTCACTGACCACACCAACCTGTTTCACTGACCACACCAACCTCCACACCAACCTGTTTCACTGACCACACCAACCTGTTTCACTGACCAAACCAACCTGTTTCACTGACCAAACCAACCTGTTTCACTGACCATACTAACCTCTTGTTTCTCCAGTTTGTTTTGTTCCTCAATGCGTGTGATGATCTCTGTCATGTTTGTTTCCAGCACCATACCCCCCATAACCAGCTCAGATAGAATGTAATGTACCTTCAGAAGTAAACAAAATGTAATGCACCTTCAGAAGTAAACAAAATGTAATGTACCTACAGAAGTAAACAAAATGTAATGCACCTACAGAAGTAAACAAAATGTAATGTACCTACAGAAGTAAACAAAATGTAATGTACCTACAGAAGTAAACAAAATGTAATGTACCTACAGAAGTAAACAAAATGTAATGTACCTACAGAAGTAAACAAAATGTAATGTACCTACAGAAGTAAACAAAATATAATGCACCTTCAGAAGTAAACAAAATGTAATGCACCTACAGAAGTAACCAAAATGTAATGCACCTTCAGAAGTAAACAAAATGTAATGCACCTTCAGAAGTAAACAAAATGTAATGCACCTACAGAAGTAAACAAAATGTAATGCACCTACAGAAGTAAACAAAATGTAATGCACCTACAGAAGTAAACAAAATGTAATGTACCTACAGAAGTAAACAAAATGTAATGCACCTACAGAAGTAAACAAAATGTAATGCACCTACAGAAGTAAACAAAATGTAATGTACCTACAGAAGTAAACAAAATGTAATGCACCTTCAGAAGTAAACAAAATGTAATGCACCTACAGAAGTAAACAAAATGTAATGTACCTACAGAAGTAAACAAAATGTAATGCACCTACAGAAGTAAACAAAATGTAATGCCCCTACAGAAGTAAACAAAATGTAATGTACCTACAGAAGTAAACAAAATGTAATGTACCTACAGAAGTAAACAAAATGTAATGCACCTACAGAAGTAAACAAAATGTAATGCACCTACAGAAGTAAACAAAATGTAATGTACCTACAGAAGTAAACAAAATGTAATGTACCTACAGAAGTAAACAAAATGTAATGCACGTTCAGAAGTAAACAAAATGTAATGTACCTACAGAAGTAAACAAAATATAATGCACCTTCAGAAGTAAACAAAATGTAATGCAGCTACAGAAGTAACCAAAATGTAATGCACCTTCAGAAGTAAACAAAATGTAATGCACCTTCAGAAGTAAACAAAATGTAATGCACCTACAGAAGTAAACAAAATGTAATGCACCTACAGAAGTAAACAAAATGTAATGTACCTACAGAAGTAAACAAAATGTAATGCACCTACAGAAGTAAACAAAATGTAATGCACCTACAGAAGTAAACAAAATGTAATGCACCTTCAGAAGTAAACAAAATGTAATGCACCTACAGAAGTAAACAAAATGTAATGCACCTACAGAAGTAAACAAAATGTAATGTACCTACAGAAGTAAACAAAATGTAATGCACCTACAGAAGTAAACAAAATGTAATGCACCTACAGAAGTAAACAAAATGTAATGCACCTTCAGAAGTAAACAAAATGTAATGCACCTACAGAAGTAAACAAAATGTAATGCACCTACAGAAGTAAACAAAATGTAATGTACCTACAGAAGTAAACAAAATGTAATGCACCCACAGAAGTAAACAAAATGTAATGCACCTACAGAAGTAAACAAAATGTAATGTACCTACAGAAGTAAACAAAATGTAATGCACCATGTAATGCACCTACAGAAGTAAACAAAATGTAATGCACCTACAGAAGTAAACAAAATGTAATGCACCTTCAGAAGTAAACAAAATGTAATGCACCTTCAGAAGTAAACAAAATGTAATGTACCTACAGAAGTAAACAAAATGTAATGCACCTACAGAAGTAAACAAAATGTAATGCACCTTCAGAAGTAAACAAAATGTAATGCACCTTCAGAAGTAAACAAAATGTAATGTACCTACAGAAGTAAACAAAATGTAATGCACCTTCAGAAGTAAACAAAATGTAATGCACCTACAGAAGTAAACAAAATGTAATGCACCTACAGAAGTAAACAAAATGTAATGTACCTACAGAAGTAAACAAAATGTAATGCACCCACAGAAGTAAACAAAATGTAATGCACCTACAGAAGTAAACAAAATGTAATGTACCTACAGAAGTAAACAAAATGTAATGCACCTACAGAAGTAAACAAAATGTAATGCACCTACAGAAGTAAACAAAATGTAATGCACCTTCAGAAGTAAACAAAATGTAATGCACCTTCAGAAGTAAACAAAATGTAATGTACCTACAGAAGTAAACAAAATGTAATGCACCTACAGAAGTAAACAAAATGTAATGCACCTTCAGAAGTAAACAAAATGTAATGCACCTTCAGAAGTAAACAAAATGTAATGTACCTACAGAAGTAAACAAAATGTAATGTACCTTCACATGTAAACAAAATGAAATGCACCTTCAGCGGCAAACAAATATAATGAAATTTCAGAAGAAAAAAAAATATCTTTAGGGGAAAACGAAATAAACTACATGTTATAAAAGAGAACAAAATATACTGCATGATATAAAAGAAAACAAAATATAGTGCATCTTTAAAAATAATTTAAATATGATCCAACTTTAGAGGAAAAGAAAAATATTTTTACTGGTGACTTGCCTGAAGGCAGTGGACAACCCTAAACAAGACTAATCTAGCACAGTCATTAGTGAAACATTCAACTATAGTACACATACATATGAGCCTTACTGTCATTAGTAAAACATTCAACTACAGTACAGATACATATCTTACTGTCATTAGTGAAACATTATTCAAATTCAAATTTATTCAAATTTATTCAAATTTATTCAAATTTATTCAAACAACGGTTACAATTGTAGGCACAAAGGCCTTTTTTCACATTGGCCGTTTAAACAAATAAAGCAATTCAATAACACATAGCAGTAACACATAGCACTGAAAATGTGGAATAAAGAAACAATGGTACATAGCTATCATACATAATGAGATAAAAAAGAGAATATAATAGATGAATGAGAATTGTTACAATGAGTCAGTTAGGTCATTAAATAATTTTAGTTTTAATTTAGATTTGAATATATTTTCAGATCTAGATAGCTTTATTTTATTAGGAAGATTGTTCCACAAATTAGAACCAGAGTAGGCGAAGCTATGTTTTTGGAAAAAGGTTGAATAAGGGAATGGTAAATTGAGACGACGATTTAATTTTATGTTAAAAGAAAATAGATCTGATAAGTAAGAGGGGGCTGTTTCGTGGAATATTTTATATAAGAAAATTGATTTAGTATATATTATCTTTTTATTTAATGGAAGTATTTTAGTTGTAAGAAAAGAATCCATACTACTAGATAAGCCAGTAACCAGTTTTATAGCCCTTTTTTGTAAAGAAAGAAGAGGACGCTGCTTAGATATAAAGCTGCCGCTCCACACTACAGAAGCATAATCCAACCTGGATTGAATAAAAGCCTCATAAAAAACCAGCCTGCTCCTATAGTTGAGAAAGTTCTTTATCCTTGCTAACTGAAAGGTTGTCTTTAATAAGGACATTCTTAGAAAATGAATATGGTCAGACCAAGTGAGGTTGTGATCTATAAACAATCCTAGGCATTTGTAACTGTCTACCTGTTCAATGTTTGAATTGTCTATAGTAATGTTTAATGCGGTGGATGGAAGACGAAGGCGTTTCTGATGAGTTGTAATAAACATTGACTTGGTTTTATCGGGGTGAAGTTTCATTTTGTTAAATTTTGTCCAAGTTGCAAGCTGATTGGCACATGTTTGAAGTTTGTAACTGAGTGACTCAGCACTGTCTGCAAAGACATGCAAAGAAGTATCATCAGCGAACATCTCGCACTGACCAGCGTCAATATGTAATGGAAGATCATTAATGTATAAAGAAAAAAGTAAAGGACCTAAGATTGAGCCCTGTGGAACCCCTATATTAACATATTTCTGTGAAGAGATGGTATTAAGGTGAAACACGCGTTGAGATCGGTTAGATAAAAAGGAGTGAAGTAACCTAACTGTAAAGTCGTGGAATTTGTATGGAATTAGTTTTTTAAGAAGTATGGTGTGATCAATAGAATCAAAGGCTTTTCTGAAATCGACAAACAGCGAGCCACAGAGTAGGTTTTTGTTAATATTTATAAGCCAGTTTTCATTCATCTTAATCAGAGCAGTGTGACAAGAATGAAACTTTCTAAACCCAGACTGATTACTATGGAAAAGCTTGAACTTTTCTAGGTAATATGAAATGCATTTGTTTATATGTATTTCTAGTGGCTTGGAGAGGGAAGAAAGTATAGAAATTGGCCTGTAGTTATTAGCATCTTGGATGTTACCTTTTTTGTGTAGTGGTATAACCTTAGCATGCTTAAAATGTGTCGGGTAATAATGCTTGGCAATACAGAGGTTATAGACATAGGTTAAAACTTCGGAAATTATTGGAGCTGAAATCTTCAATACATTATTAGAAATATCATCAAACGAAGTTGTTGAAGACGGTTTAAGAGATCTTAGGCTAACATAAACTTCATGAACAGTGAGAAGCGGAATGATCAGCTCTGTCCTACCACGGTGAGCAGAATTACAAAAATTTTTAAGCTCCTCACTGATTGTGTAATCAGCATCTGTGTTGAGCGCTACAGATGATATAAAATGATTGTTAAAGTCATCAGCAGATATCTGGCAATGTCCAGCTGTATTACATGTGCGTTTTTTTCTAATTATTTGATTTATAGCAGTCCAGATAGATTTGGAATTAGGTTTGCCTGACAGCAGCTTATTAAAATATTCCTTCTTCGACCTACGCACGAGCAGTTTGACATAATTTCGCTGCCTACAAAAGTCCTCAGAAGTTCCATAACGTTTAAGCCAGTCTCTTTTATTAATTGCAGATTCGATATTGTTGTTAAACCAAGAAGGTTTGTATGTAGTCTTAACTCTTTTAGAGATTTTAGGAATATGTTTGTCATATATAGTATAGAAAATACGCAGCCATTCAGAAATGGCAAGATCGGGACAATTATAATTGTATACATTGCAGAAGGGGGCAGCCAATAAATCCGAAAGAAAAAGATTTTCATTAAATTTTCTAAAAGAGCGATAACTTATAGTTATGTGTTGCCGCGAAGGTACACATAATCTTTTTGTCGAAAAAGTACAACAAACAGGGAAGTGGTCACTAACACCACAAGAGGGGACACATACCTCTATTAGGTTGCAGTCAGGTGATGCGTATATGTGGTCAATTATTGTACTTGATTTATCATTTACCCTGGTAGCCGTGTGCACAAATTGTTTAAGATTCAAAGAATCAATAATATCTTGCCAATATCCTTGAGGTTTTAATAAATTTATATTAAAATCTCCCAATATGATATATTCATTGTTAGTAGATAAAACGGTATCCATCATGGAGCAAAAACGATCATACCAATCCATGTTTTCACAGGGATTTCTATAAAGGAAGCAAATTAAAATTGCCGGATGGTGTTTGCTTTTTTCGAGTTCAATCCAAATACATTCTATATTGTCCGTTGACAGATCCATCCTGTACTTGAAACGAATTGAGGAGTGGACATAGACACAAAGGCCAGTTTCTTTGTGTAAGGATGGGTCTCGGCGTATTAGGTTATAATCAGAGACGGATATCTCAACATCATTTATAAAAGATTGTAATCGAGTTTCAGAGAAACCAAAGATATGGAAAGGATTGTTGGAATTGTTTAAAATTTTTAGAACTTCATGGTGTTTATTAAATATGTGGAAAATATTTAAATGGCCCAATTTTAGCCCACTTTGTGAGGGCCAGGATGATGAAAATAGACAATGCATAAAAGATAATAAAATATCAATGAATAAGAGATGTTATAAACAAAAATCAATATAATGAACTAATTAAACAGAATCAATATAATTGTCTTACAATTACACGCTTTGTCATCCAATAAACAAACACTCGCTGCTCTAACTACAGTACAGATACATATCTTACTGTCATTAGTGAAACATTCAACTACAGCACAGATACATATGAGCCTTACTGTCATTAGTGGAACATTCAACTACAGTACAGATACATATGAGCCTTACTGTCATTAGTGGAACATTCAACTACAGTACAGATACATATGAGCCTTACTGTCATTAGTGAAACATTCAACTACAGCACACATACATATGAGCCTTACTGTCATTAGTGAAACATTCAACTACAGTACAGATACATATCTTACTGTCATTAGTGAAACATTCAACTACAGTACAGATACATATGAGCCTTACTGTCATTAGTGAAACATTCAACTACAGCACAGATACATATCTTACTGTCATTAGTGAAACATTCAACTACAGTACAGATACATATGAGCCTTACTGTCATTAGTGAAACATTCAACTACAGTACAGATACATATCTTACTGTCATTAGTGAAACATTCAACTACAGCACACATACATATGAGCCTTACTGTCATTAGTGAAACATTCAACTACAGCACAGATACATATGAGCCTTACTGTCATTAGTGAAACATTCAACTACAGTACAGATACATATGAGCCTTACTGTCATTAGTGAAACATTCAACTACAGTACAGATACATATGAGCCTTACTGTCATTAGTGAAACATTCAACTACAGTACAGATACATATGAGCCTTACTGTCATTAGTGAAACATTCAACTACAGTACAGATACATATGAGCCTTACTGTCATTAGCGAAACATTCAACTACAGTACAGATACATATGAGCCTTACTGTCATTAGTGAAACATTCAACTACAGTACAGATACATATCTTACTGTCATTAGTGAAACATTCAACTACAGTACAGATACATATGAGCCTTACTGTCATTAGTGAAACATTCAACTACAGTACAGATAAATATCTTACTGTCATTAGTGGAACATTCAACTACAGTACAGATACATATGAGCCTTACTGTCATTAGTGAAACATTCAACTACAGTACAGATAAATATCTTACTGTCATTAGTGAAACATTCAACTACAGTACAGATACATATCTTACTGTCATTAGTGAAACATTCAACTACAGTACAGATACATATCTTACTGTCATTAGTGGAACATTCAACTACAGTACAGATACATATGAGCCTTACTGTCATTAGTGAAACATTCAACTACAGTACAGATACATATGAGCCTTACTGTCATTAGTGAAACATTCAACTACAGTACAGATACATATGAGCCTTACTGTCATTAGTGGAACATTCAACTACAGTACAGATACATATCTTACTGTCATTAGTGAAACATTCAACTACAGCACAGATACATATGAGCCTTACTGTCATTAGTGGAACATTCAACTACAGTACAGATACATATGAGCCTTACTGTCATTAGTGGAACATTCAACTACAGTACAGATACATATGAGCCTTACTATCATTAGTGAAACATTCAACTACAGTACAGATACATATGAGCCTTACTATCATTAGTGAAACATTCAACTACAGTACAGATACATATGAGCCTTACTGTCATTAGTGAAACATTCAACTACAGTACAGATACATATGAGCCTTACTATCATTAGTGAAACATTCAACTACAGTACAGATAAATATCTTACTGTCATGAGTGAAACATTCAACTACAGTACAGATACATATGAGCCTTACTGTCATTAGTGGAACATTCAACTACAGTACAGATACATATGAGCCTTACTGTCATTAGTGAAACATTCAACTACAGTACAGATAAATATCTTACTGTCATTAGTGAAACATTCAACTACAGTACAGATACATATGAGCCTTACTATCATTAGTGAAACATTCAACTACAGTACAGATACATATCTTACTGTCATTAGTGAAACATTCAACTACAGTACAGATACATATGAGCCTTACTGTCATTAGTGGAACATTCAACTACAGTACAGATACATATGACCCTTACTGTCATTAGTGAAACATTCAACTACAGTGCAGATACATATGAGCCTTACTGTCATTAGTGGAACATTCAACTACAGTACAGATACATATCTTACTGTCATTAGTGAAACATTCAACTACAGTACACATACATATGAGCCTTACTGTCATTAGTGAAACATTCAACTACAGCACAGATACATATCTTACTGTCATTAGTGAAACATTCAACTACAGTACAGATACATATGAGCCTTACTGTCATTAGTGGAACATTCAACTACAGTACAGATACATATGAGCCTTACTGTCATTAGTGAAACATTCAACTACAGCACAGATACATATCTTACTGTCATTAGTGAAACATTCAACTACAGTACAGATACATATGAGCCTTACTGTCATTAGTGAAACATTCAACTACAGTACAGATACATATCTTACTGTCATTAGTGAAACATTCAACTACAGTACAGATACATATGAGCCTTACTGTCATTAGTGGAACATTCAACTACAGTACAGATACATATGAGCCTTACTATCATTAGTGAAACATTCAACTACAGTACACATACATATGAGCCTTACTGTCATTAGTGAAACATTCAACTACAGTACAGATACATATGAGCCTTACTGTCATTAGTGAAACATTCAACTACAGTACAGATACATATGAGCCTTACTGTCATTAGTGAAACATTCAACTACAGTACAGATACATATGAGCCTTACTGTCATTAGTGAAACATTCAACTACAGCACACATACATATGAGCCTTACTGTCATTAGTGAAACATTCAACTACAGTACAGATACATATCTTACTGTCATTAGTGAAACATTCAACTACAGTACAGATACATATGAGCCTTACTGTCATTAGTGAAACATTCAACTACAGCACACATACATATGAGCCTTACTGTCATTAGTGAAACATTCAACTACAGTACAGATACATATCTTACTGTCATTAGTGAAACATTCAACTACAGTACAGATACATATGAGCCTTACTGTCATTAGTGAAACATTCAACTACAGCACAGATACATATCTTACTGTCATTAGTGAAACATTCAACTACAGTACAGATACATATGAGCCTTACTGTCATTAGTGAAACATTCAACTACAGTACAGATACATATCTTACTGTCATTAGTGAAACATTCAACTACAGTACAGATACATATGAGCCTTACTGTCATTAGTGGAACATTCAACTACAGTACAGATACATATCTTACTGTCATTAGTGAAACATTCAACTACAGTACAGATACATATGAGCCTTACTGTCATTAGTGAAACATTCAACTACAGTACAGATACATATGAGCCTTACTATCATTAGTGAAACATTCAACTACAGTACACATACATATGAGCCTTACTGTCATTAGTGAAACATTCAACTACAGTACAGATACATATGAGCCTTACTGTCATTAGTGAAACATTCAACTACAGTACAGATACATATGAGCCTTACTGTCATTAGTGAAACATTCAACTACAGTACAGATACATATGAGCCTTACTGTCATTAGTGAAACATTCAACTACAGCACACATACATATGAGCCTTACTGTCATTAGTGAAACATTCAACTACAGTACAGATACATATGAGCCTTACTGTCATTAGTGAAACATTCAACTACAGTACAGATACATATGAGCCTTACTGTCATTAGTGAAACATTCAACTACAGCACACATACATATGAGCCTTACTGTCATTAGTGAAACATTCAACTACAGTACAGATACATATGAGCCTTACTGTCATTAGTGAAACATTCAACTACAGCACAGATACATATGATCCTTACTTTATCAACGTGAAAAATTAAGTCCAGTTCACATACATTTTCGAAGCACTTATCCAAAGTCTCCACAAACACCTAAAAAAAAAAACATATGAAAATAAATAGAATACATGTTGATATTTTCCTCATTCTCTTCTTATTAAGATCTACTTCAATCTTCACAACTTTTTTGGCTACTGCCACTCCTGTGACCTGGTCAGTACAATGGGGATCACAGACCAGAAAGGACCAGAGGCTAATCCCCACAGGTGCTATAGGCTAATCCCCACAGGTGCTATAGGCTAATCCCCACAGGTGCTATAGGCTTATCCCCACAGGTGCTATAGATTAATCCCCACAGGTGCTATAGATTAATCCCCACAGGTGCTATAAGTTAATCCCCATAGGTGCTATAGGCTAATCCCCACAGGTGTTATAGGCTAATCCCCACAGGTGCTATAGATTAATCCCCACAGGTGCTATAAGTTAATCCCCATAGGTGCTATAGGCTAATCCCCACAGTGTTATAGGCTAATCCCCACAGGTGCTATAGATTAATCCCCACAGGTGCTATAGATTAATCCCCATAGGTGCTATAGGCTAATCCCCACAAGTGTTATAGGCTAATCCCCACAGGTGCTATAGGCTTATCCCCACAGGTGCTATAGGCTTATCCCCACAGGTGCTATAGAATACATGTTGATATTTTCCTCATTCTCTTCTTATTAAGATCTACTTCAATCTTCACAACTTTTTTGGCTACTGCCACTCCTGTGACCTGGTCAGTACAATGGGGATCACAGACCAGAAAGGACCAGAGGCTAATCCCTCAGGTGCTATAGGCTAATCCCCACAGGTGCTATAGGCTAATCCCCACAGGTGCTATAGGCTTATCCCCACAGGTGCTATAGATTAATCCCCACAGGTGCTATAGATTAATCCCCACAGGTGCTATAAGTTAATCCCCATAGGTGCTATAGGCTAATCCCCACAGGTGTTATAGGCTAATCCCCACAGGTGCTATAGATTAATCCCCACAGGTGCTATAAGTTAATCCCCATAGGTGCTATAGGCTAATCCCCACAGGTGTTATAGGCTAATCCCCACAGGTGCTATAGATTAATCCCCATAGGTGCTATAGGCTAATCCCCACAAGTGTAATAGGCTAATCCCCACATGTGCTGTAGGCTAATCCCCACGGGTGCTATAGGTTAATCCCAACACAGTTTATCCGAGTGCCATGAAACTTTGGGGAGCTGATGAGAACACTCCAGTGGAGGTTTCTGTAAAACAATCTTTTTTAATTTCGCAAGGGTGGCGCCCCAAGAGAATGTGGTTCTTCTCTAAATACGGCTAATGAAAAAAAATGAAAGTCAGATGCAGTTCGACACTTTTCATTCAAGTGCTATAAAACTTTCAGGAGTTGATGAGAATACTCCCGGGAAGGTTTCTGTTAATTAAATAATTAAAATGTGATATAAGCTGCGCACAGGAGGGTGCAATTTTCGTCAATACACAATTTCGCGCCCAGAGTAGCTATATTAGTACTTGGCTTAATCATGCATCCTGCATAGCGGGTTACGGGTACTACTATATTCAGTGTTAAAACTTCAGCAGGTGCAACCGCCAGCGCCCCGTAGTTCTCCTGCAAGCACTATGTTGCCTGTGCAATAGTGTAATCAGGGGCTCCCAAGAGCGCCCCTCTACGTCCCTGACAAATGGGTGGTCACCGAAGTGTGTTCTACCTCATTTTTTCAGGGAGTGATTAACGTACACTCGAGGTTTTCATGCGGTAGTGTTGGTGAACCCGTGTCCCGATATTTATGATCAAAGAGGAGGCATTGTTAACATTTACTCACGCGTCTACGTGTCGGGATTGGTACGCTAGAATACATATGTATTTAAGTACATAAATAAACATATATATTGACATATATTATATATACGTATATATTTAAATACATAAATAAACATTTATATACATATATATACATATAAATACATAAAAAACATATATATACATATATTATATACATACATATATAATTAAATACATAAATAAACACATAGCTATATATATATAATTCTCTTCTTGGAGACGTTAGAAAACACCAAGCTGTAAGCGCACCTAGCAGCCCCCTCTCTTCCTCTCTAGGCATATCGAAACCACCCCCACCCCCACATGGTCTGGTGAGCTGTGGTTCACGCTAAATGTTTACAATCGTAGAGCCAGGTTTATTGACAGCTATTAGGGGCAGATAATTTAGTTTGAAACTATTTTAAACTTAGATGAGGTAACTAAAAGGAGGCTGCTTTCACGGGGGAAGGGGGTGTTGGGGAAAAGGAGGGTTTTAGTGTTTTAAAGCAAATATTATCAGTGACAGCATTGGTAGTGTCAAATTCACAAATTATGAATTACTGAAAAGTAGAAAAAAAACAACTAAATAGTGGAAATATGCCGCGGGTCGGCTCGTATACATATATTATATATATACATATACAAGTACAAAAAATATACACATATATACATGCGCATGCATGTGTATATATGTATATATATATATATATATATATATATATATATATATATATATATATATATATATATTTTTTTTTATATATATATTTATATATATATATATTTCTATATATTTATATATATATTATATATATTTATATATCTTTATATTTATATATATGTATACATATATAAATAACATGAATATATAAGAATAACATCAATGTTCCACACAAGAATAATACACAATAAACCAACAGACCATAACTGTCACAAGATGTAACAAATTCATACAGATATTACAAGTTTCCCTGCACGTTTCAAATCTTGTCCTACTGTTTCTTCTATAGATGAGCCCTATTATATAGCATCCAACCTTCAAATCTTGTCCTACTGTTTCTTCTATAGATGAGCCCTATTATATAACATCCAACCTTCAAATCTTGTCCTGCTGTTTCTTGTTGAGCCCTATTATATAGCATCCAACCTTCAAATCTTGTCCTACTGTTTCTTGTTGAGCCCTATTATATAGCATCCAACCTTCAAATCTTGTCCTGCTGTTTCTTGTTGAGCCCTATTATATAGCATCCAACCTTCAAATCTTGTCCTACTGTTTCTTCTATAGTTGAGCCCTATTATATAACATCCAACCTTCAAATCTTGTCCTACTGTTTCTTCTATAGTTGAGCCCTATTATATAGCATCCAACCTTCAAATCTTGTCCTACTGTTTCTTCTATAGTTGAGCCCTATTATATAGCATCCAACCTTCAAATCTTGTCCTGCTGTTTCTTGTTGAGCCCTATTATATAGCATCCAACCTTCAAATCTTGTCCTACTGTTTCTTCTATAGTTGAGCCCTATTATATAGCATCCAACCTTCAAATCTTGTCCTACTGTTTCTTCTATAGTTGAGCCCTATTATATAGCATCCAACCTTCAAATCTTGTCCTGCTGTTTCTTCTATAGTTGAGCCCTATTATATAGCATCCAACCTTCAAATCTTGTCCTACTGTTTCTTCTATAGATGAGCCCTATTATATAGCATCCAACCTTCAAATCTTGTCCTACTGTTTCTTCTATAGATGAGCCCTATTATATAACATCCAACCTTCAAATCTTGTCCTGCTGTTTCTTGTTGAGCCCTATTATATAGCATCCAACCTTCAAATCTTGTCCTACTGTTTCTTGTTGAGCCCTATTATATAGCATCCAACCTTCAAATCTTGTCCTGCTGTTTCTTGTTGAGCCCTATTATATAGCATCCAACCTTCAAATCTTGTCCTACTGTTTCTTCTATAGTTGAGCCCTATTATATAACATCCAACCTTCAAATCTTGTCCTACTGTTTCTTCTATAGTTGAGCCCTATTATATAGCATCCAACCTTCAAATCTTGTCCTACTGTTTCTTCTATAGTTGAGCCCTATTATATAGCATCCAACCTTCAAATCTTGTCCTGCTGTTTCTTGTTGAGCCCTATTATATAGCATCCAACCTTCAAATCTTGTCCTACTGTTTCTTCTATAGTTGAGCCCTATTATATAGCATCCAACCTTCAAATCTTGTCCTACTGTTTCTTCTATAGTTGAGCCCTATTATATAGCATCCAACCTTCAAATCTTGTCCTGCTGTTTCTTCTATAGTTGAGCCCTATTATATAGCATCCAACCTTCAAATCTTGTCCTACTGTTTCTTGTTTAGCCCTATTATATAGCATCCAACCTTCAAATCTTGTCCTACTGTTTCTTGTTTAGCCCTATTATATAGCATCCAACCTTCAAATCTTGTCCTACTGTTTCTTCTATAGTTGAGCCCTATTATATAACATCCAACCTTCAAATCTTGTCCTGCTGTTTCTTCTATAGTTGAGCCCTATTATATAGCATCCAACCTTCAAATCTTGTCCTACTGTTTCTTCTATAGTTGAGCCCTATTATATAGCATCCAACCTTCAAATCTTGTCCTACTGTTTCTTCTATAGATGAGCCCTATTATATAACATCCAACCTTCAAATCTTGTCCTGCTGTTTCTTGTTGAGCCCTATTATATAGCATCCAACCTTCAAATCTTGTCCTACTGTTTCTTGTTGAGCCCTATAATATAGCATCCAACCTTCAAATCTTGTCCTACTGTTTCTTGTTGAGCCCTATTATATAGCATCCAACCTTCAAATCTTGTCCTACTGTTTCTTGTTGAGCCCTATTATATAGCATCCAACCTTCAAATCTTGTCCTACTGTTTCTTCTATAGTTGAGCCCTATTATATAGCATCCAACATTCAGCCACTGGCCTTGTTATTGTTATTAGTTGACTTTTGTTTATGAGTAAAGTTCTATTTTTAGTCAAACTTTACTAGTCCCACCAGCTACATCACAACAACTTGTTTATATCGCAGTTACATAATAACTCGGTTCAGGTTTGGCCTTGACCTTGTTGACAGACAACTATTGTGTTGTTATCAATTACAAGAAAAATGGCCCGTTGAGGAAGGATACAAGGGGCGCTAGGTTGATAGTGCTGTCTATTTTCTCTAAACTAAAACCAAATTCAAAATCACCACCTTCGTCCCTACCGGAAGAGATGCATGAAAGAAACTGCACGCAAAACACTTTTTAGATTAGAAAATTCCCCTACCCCTCTCCGGGGAGGAAAAATTCTGAAAGAAACACTGGTCGTATTTGTAGATCATACAAACTGAAGGTGGAGCCTACTTCTATAATTTAAACGCGTTACATAGTTTCCTACTTTTGGCCGATAAACCTCACTCTCGCAGACAGTGTTTCTTTCAGATATTTTTTTGGGGGTGGGCACTTGAATTTTTGCAGAGGAGAATTATCTGGTGGGGGGAGGACGACACTGGTAAAAGTAAAATATATTTTCTATATCAATTATATTTCGTTTCTTTAGGGGGAGGGATTAGACGTTCTACCGTGTGGGGGGTTAAATGGGCTTCGCCCCTACCCGAAGAGATGCATGAAAGAAACTCTGCCAGCAAAACCACTTTTTAGATTAGACACATAAATTAGGCTGTAATTTTATTATAGAGCATCGATGAAGACATTTCTTTGAGTTGGGGGAGGGGGGGGGGCGGCTTAGACCTTACAGGGGGGATGGGCTTCGCCCCTACCCGAAGAATTGTATGAAAGAACCTCTTCACGCAAACCACTTTTAAGATTAGACAAAATTGGCTTTTTAATTCAATGTTTACTCGAGAATCAATGACGTCACATTACTGTGTGCACTCTCCGGCGCTGTAGACTATTTCCTACTATTTGCTCCATGTGACGTCACGTTTTATTTTCGTTTTACTATGAAAGTTTTTATTTTGCTTGTGTTTTCTCTATAGCGTTCTTGACAGATACATAGGCAGCGAAACTATTAGTATAGATGATGTTGGTAACTTCCACTAGCTACATTATATATATATATATATATATTTATATATATATATATATATATTAGCGTACCCGACCCCGCGCGTTGCCACGGGAATAGAAAAAAGTCCGACGAATATAAAAGGGTTTCATCCATGCGTTACCAATCCTATATTCTTAAACTCGTGACCTTGTTTTCTAAAAGTGAGTTATTTAAATGTAAACAATGCCTGTGTTTGGATGATAAATATCGGGACACAGGTTTACTTACACTACCGCGTGAAAACCTTATGTGTACATTAATAACTCACAGAAATAATATGGTAGAACACACTTCGGTGACCGCCCATGTGTCAGGGACGTAGAGTGGTGCTCTCAGGAGCCCCCCCCCCCCCCCCCACACCAATTACACAAATGAACAGGAGTTTTTCTTTGACACGTAAATGAGGTAGAACACACTATGGTGACAGCCCATGTGTCAGGGACGTAGAGTGGCGCTCTCAGGATTATTAAAATAAAACATGGCCCTCAGCGGCGTGTGAGCCTTTTGGGGCCGAAACTGAAATTTTTTGTTTGCGGCCAAATCGCAACGTACCAGGGCGCCGGCGGACACGCCTCTTTCAATTTAGTGAGCGTTTGTAATGCCCCATCCTATCCATTGTTTATCACACTGTTCAGACCAAACGTAGTCGCTTTAGCGCTCGACGGAAAGACCAGGGTGCCAAATCGCATCCTTCTAGGGGGCAGCACATGCAAAATCAAATCCTCCCTTTCCCACCACCCCAACCCCCCACCCAAGAAACCTTCTCGGGAGAGTTCATCAACTCCCTATAGTTTTATGGCACTCTGATAAACTGTGTTGAACCGCAATTGTTTTTATTTTTAGATACCGTATATAGAGAAAAATCGCACCATCCCGAGGCGCCGCCCTTGCGAAATTAAAAAAAGATTTTTTTTACAGAAACCTCACCTGAAGTATTCTTGTTAACTCCCAAAGTTTGATGGTGATCGGATGAACGATGTCAAACCGCAATAGACTTTTATTTTTATATACCGTATACAGAGAAAAAACAAATCGCGCCCTGCGAATTTGAAATTTTTTTTCGCAGAACCCTCCCCAGAAATATTCTTAGCAACTTCTCAAAGTTTCATGCCGATCGAGTGAACAGTGTCACTGCAATTTATTTTTATTATTTTTATATACCACATGTAGAGAAAAATCACACCCTCCCGTGGCGCCGCCCTTGCGAAATTAATTTTTTTTTTTTTACATAACACTTGCCCAGAATGTCTTTATCAACTCCCCTAAAGTCTCATGGCTATCGGATGAACGGTATCAAACCAAAATCGACTTTTATTTTTATATACCGTACATATAGAAAAATCACACCCTCCCGTGACGCCGCCCTTGAAAAATTAAAAAAATATTTTTTACAGAACCTTTCCCTAGAGTGTTATTATGAACTCCCCAAAGTCTAATGGCTATCAGATGAACAATGTCAAACCAAAATCGACTTTTTTTTTATATAACGTACATAGAGAAAATCGCCCCCTCCCGTGGCGCCGCCCTTGCGAAATTAAAAATGACTTTTTTACAGAATGCTTCCCTGAATTGCTCTAATCAACTCCCCAAAGTTTGACGGCGATTGGATGAACAGTGTGAATCTGCAAACGACTCTTATTTTTTATATACCGTATATACAGAAAAAACACCCCTATAGAGAATTCGCCATCCCTGCGAATTTGAATTTTTTTTTTCTGCAGAAACCTCCCCAGGAATATTCTTAACAACTTCCCAAAGTTTCACGCGATGTGATAAGAGGTGTGGTAATGCACAAAAGTGCAGAATCTCACCTGGATAAGATCTAGTATCCCCAGCTCACTTTCAGAAGAATCAACACAAAATACAAAGTAGAGTGTAGCATAGTGACGATAGATAAGTTTATAGTCTGATCCTCCAATCAATCTGAAACAAGCAGATATCTAGAGGTTAGGGCAGAGACCTGCTTAAAGACCTTTCCAGTTTAAAACTAGAGGGCTAAGGTAGAGACCTGCTTAAAGCCCTTTCCAGTTTAAAACTAGAGGGCTAAGGTAGAGACCTGCTTAAAGCCCTTTCCAGTTTAAAACTAGAGGGCTAAGGCAGAGACCTGCTTAAAGACCTTTCCAGCTTAAAACTAGAGGGCTAAGGCAGAGACCTGCTTAAAGACCTTTCCAGCTTAAAACTAGAGGGCTAAGGCAGAGACCTGCTTAAAGACCTTTCCAGCTTAAAACTAGAGGGCTAAGGCAGAGACCTGCTTAAAGACCTTTCCAGCTTAAACTTAAAGCTCTTATTAGTCAGCAATTATGAACCCACTCTTGCTAATCATCCACCTACCCTGAATCAACAATTAATTTGTTACTCACCCATTCTAACAATTAGTATTTACATTTTTTCCGTGGACTCAATTCAATTGACTCACACAAACTACTAACCCTAACCCTAACTCACCCATTTTAACAATTAGTATTTACATTTCATTCACAAACTGTACCCTGTCTCTGTACATTTATGTCGTGTGGTTGTATAAAGTCTGTGTAAATGTATGTCTTATAGTTGTAAATGTGTAAATGTATGTCTTATAGTTGTAAAACATATGTGTAAATGTATGTCTAGTGGTTGTATAAAGTCTGTGTAAATGTATGTCTAGTGGTTGTATAAAGTCTGTGTAAATGTATGTCTTATAGTTGTAAAAAGTCTGTGTAAATGTATGTCTTATAGTTGTATAAAGTCTGTGTAAATGTATGTCTTATAGTTGTATAAAGTCTGTGTAAATGTATGTCTTATAGTTGTAAAAAGTCTCTGTAAATGTATGTCTAGTGGTTGTATAAAGTCTGTGTAAATGTATGTCTAGTGGTTGTATAAAGTCTGTGTAAATGTATGTCTTATAGTTGTAAAAAGTCTGTGTAAATGTATGTCTTATAGTTGTATAAAGTCTGTGTAAATGTATGTCTTATAGTTGTATAAAGTCTCTGTAAATGTATGTCTTATAGTTGTATAAAGTCTGTGTAAATGTATGTCTTATAGTTGTATAAAGTCTGTGTAAATGTATGTCTTATAGTTGTATAAAGTCTCTGTAAATGTATGTCTTATAGTTGTATAAAGTCTGTGTAAATGTATGTCTTATAGTTGTAAAACATATGTGTAAATGTATGTCTAGTGGTTGTATAAAGTCTCTGTAAATGTATGTCTAGTGGTTGTATAAAGTCTGTGTAAATGTATGTCTAGTGGTTGTATAAAGTCTGTGTAAATGTATGTCTTATAGTTGTATAAAGTCTCTGTAAATGTATGTCTAGTGGTTGTATAAAGTCTGTGTAAATGTATGTCTAGTGGTTGTATAAAGTCTGTGTAAATGTATGTCTAGTGGTTGTATAAAGTCTGTGTAAATGTATGTCTAGTGGTTGTATAAAGTCTGTGTAAATGTATGTCTAGTGGTTGTATAAAGTCTGTGTAAATGTATGTCTAGTGGTTGTATAAAGTCTCTGTAAATGTATGTCTTATAGTTGTATAAAGTCTGTGTAAATGTATGTCTAGTGGTTGTATAAAGTCTCTGTAAATGTATGTCTAGTGGTTGTATAAAGTCTCTGTAAATGTATGTCTAGTGGTTGTATAAAGTCTGTGTAAATGTATGTCTAGTGGTTGTATAAAGTCTCTGTAAATGTATGTCTTATAGTTGTAAAAAGTCTCTGTAAATGTATGTCTGATGGTTGTATAAAGTCTCTGTAAATGTATGTCTAGTGGTTGTATAAAGTCTCTGTAAATGTATGTCTTATAGTTGTATAAAGTCTGTGTAAATGTATGTCTAGTGGTTGTATAAAGTCTCTGTAAATGTATGTCTAGTGGTTGTATAAAGTCTCTGTAAATGTATGTCTTATGGTTGTATAAAGTCTGTGTAAATGTATGTCTTATAGTTGTATAAAGTCTGTGTAAATGTATGTCTTATAGTTGTATAAAGTCTGTGTAAATGTATGTCTTATAGTTGTAAAAAGTCTCTGTAAATGTATGTCTAGTGGTTGTATAAAGTCTGTGTAAATGTATGTCTAGTGGTTGTATAAAGTCTGTGTAAATGTATGTCTTATAGTTGTAAAAAGTCTGTGTAAATGTATGTCTTATAGTTGTATAAAGTCTCTGTAAATGTATGTCTAGTGGTTGTATAAAGTCTGTGTAAATGTATGTCTTATAGTTGTATAAAGTCTGTGTAAATGTATGTCTTATAGTTGTATAAAGTCTCTGTAAATGTATGTCTTATAGTTGTATAAAGTCTGTGTAAATGTATGTCTTATAGTTGTAAAACATATGTGTAAATGTATGTCTAGTGGTTGTATAAAGTCTGTGTAAATGTATGTCTTATAGTTGTATAAAGTCTCTGTAAATGTATGTCTAGTGGTTGTATAAAGTCTGTGTAAATGTATGTCTTATAGTTGTATAAAGTCTCTGTAAATGTATGTCTAGTGGTTGTATAAAGTCTGTGTAAATGTATGTCTAGTGGTTGTATAAAGTCTGTGTAAATGTATGTCTTATAGTTGTATAAAGTCTCTGTAAATGTATGTCTAGTGGTTGTATAAAGTCTGTGTAAATGTATGTCTAGTGGTTGTATAAAGTCTGTGTAAATGTATGTCTAGTGGTTGTATAAAGTCTGTGTAAATGTATGTCTAGTGGTTGTATAAAGTCTGTGTAAATGTATGTCTAGTGGTTGTATAAAGTCTGTGTAAATGTATGTCTAGTGGTTGTATAAAGTCTGTGTAAATGTATGTCTAGTGGTTGTATAAAGTCTCTGTAAATGTATGTCTAGTGGTTGTATAAAGTCTGTGTAAATGTATGTCTAGTGGTTGTATAAAGTCTCTGTAAATGTATGTCTTATGGTTGTATAAAGTCTGTGTAAATGTATGTCTTATAGTTGTAAAAAGTCTCTGTAAATGTATGTCTGATGGTTGTATAAAGTCTCTGTAAATGTATGTCTAGTGGTTGTATAAAGTCTCTGTAAATGTATGTCTTATAGTTGTATAAAGTCTCTGTAAATGTATGTCTAGTGGTTGTATAAAGTCTCTGTAAATGTATGTCTTATGGTTGTATAAAGTCTGTGTAAATGTATGTCTTATAGTTGTAAAAAGTCTCTGTAAATGTATGTCTAGTGGTTGTATAAAGTCTGTGTAAATGTATGTCTAGTGGTTGTATAAAGTCTCTGTAAATGTATGTCTTATAGTTGTATAAAGTCTCTGTAAATGTATGTCTAGTGGTTGTATAAAGTCTCTGTAAATGTATGTCTTATGGTTGTATAAAGTCTGTGTAAATGTATGTCTTATAGTTGTAAAAAGTCTCTGTAAATGTATGTCTAGTGGTTGTATAAAGTCTGTGTAAATGTATGTCTAGTGGTTGTATAAAGTCTCTGTAAATGTATGTCTTATAGTTGTATAAAGTCTGTGTAAATGTATGTCTTATAGTTGTATAAAGTCTGTGTAAATGTATGTCTAGTGGTTGTATAAAGTCTGTGTAAATGTATGTCTTATAGTTGTAAAAAGTCTCTGTAAATGTATGTCTTATAGTTGTAAAAAGTCTCTGTAAATGTATGTCTTATAGTTGTAAAAACTTACGTTCCACCTTCCAGAAAATTACAAACGCTGTCATCTCGTTTAGAAACTAGATGAAAAGTTTCTCTTATAATCTGATGCTGGACATCTTCTGCCTGCAAACAGTGCAATAGGAAAATTTGGGATAGAAAAACTCATTTAGGAAATATTCTTCTTTATTATGTCAAGGAAAGTCTTACAGTTAAAACTGTACAAACAACTATTCTGTTGTTATGTCAAGGAAAGTCTTACAGTTAAAACTGTACAAACAACTATTCTGTTGTTATGTCAAGGAAAGTCTTACAGTTAAAACTGTACAAACAACTATTCTGTTGGTATGTAAAACATGATTGATTTATGCTGGCTGGATGAAAAAAAAAATCACTGGAAAAAAAAATTAACGAACTTGCTTTCTGTAATGAAAACATTAGTCACTAATTAAAATATGTTAGAGATTTCATGAGAATACTTTTATTAAAGAAAGCAAGTCTGTTTTCACAAAAGAGGTTTGATGTAAGTAGCCTTCAGTTACAAAATAACCAAAAAACCTTTCAGATCATCCTTAAAAACCAGGTCGATCTACAGAGAGAAGAAAAAAAATTCAGTCGAGCACACCTGGAAAATATTTAAGCACACCTGGAAAATATTTAAGCACACCTGGAAAATATTTAAGCACACCTGGAAAATATTTAAGCACACCTGGAGAATATTTAAGCAAGCCTCTAGGGACTCCTGTGAGAAAGCCCTGGATCACAATATGGCAATAGGTGGAAGAAAGAAAGCGCCTAAAGCGATATTAAAATCAAGCAAAAACACAATAGCTGAAGCAAGCAGCAGCCACTCAATATAATGAAAAGGCTAAAGAGGTGAAAAGGAAACTAAGAAATGACAAGAGATTGTTTATAAATGAAGTGGCAGGGCAGGCCCAAACAGCTGCCAGTAAGGGAGATGTCAAGACAGCTGCCAGTAAGGGAGATGTCAAGACAGCTGCCAGTACGGGAGATGTCAAGACAGCTGCCAATAAGGGAGATCTCAAGACAGCTGCCAGTAAGGGAGATGTTAAGACAGCTGCCAGTAAGGGAGATGTTAAGACAGCTGCCAGTAAGGGAGATCTCAAGACAGCTGCCAATAAGGGAGATGTCAAGACAGCTGCCAGTACGGGAGATGTCAAGACAGCTGCCAATAAGGGAGATCTCAAGACAGCTGCCAGTAAGGGAGATGTTAAGACAGCTGCCAGTAAGGGAGATGTTAAGACAGCTGCCAGTAAGGGAGATCTCAAGACAGCTGCCAATAAGGGAGATCTCAAGACAGCTGCCAGTAAGGGAGATGTTAAGACAGCTGCCAGTAAGGGAGATGTTAAGACAGCTGCCAGTAAGGGAGATCTCAAGACGCTCTATGCAACAACCAGAGCTCTGAGTGGGAGGAAAACCAATCCCAACAGGCCAGTGAGGAGCAAAAAACTTCTAACGTCAATTGAGGAACAATTGGCACGATGGTTAGAGAAAAACAGCCCAGCACCACAAGCCCATAAGACCAGGGGCAATCCTTAACATCAGCCTAAATGTCCTTTATGTTTGATTCTATCTTTCCGTTTGCAGATAAGCTTGGGGTATTATAGTCATTCACTAAATTGAATCTGGCGCGTCCGCAGACACCCCGCCAGGGCTCGATTAGGCGCCCAGGGTCATCCTGTGAGCGCAATGTTGCATAATTTTGTTTTAAACAGTGTGATAGACTATGGGTAAGATAGGTTACTATAGTCTGTAACTGAATTGAATGTGGGCGTTCTCCAGCACCCCAACAGGATGCTATTTGGCGCCCCAGGCCTTCCTGTATTCGCTATGGCGCCTACGTTTGTTTAAGTGAATTCAAAAGACTATGAGAAAGCTGGGGTACTATAGTCTAGCTAGTTGCACAAGTAAATAAAATATGACGTCACAAGCTCTAAACCTTTCCTGTACAAAAAAATCAAATTCAAATGTAGTCGTTCGCATTTGTAACGTTAACCTATCTATCAGCCAAATAGAAGGAGAACGTCCCCGGATTCTTTTTTCGGGGTCATATGCAAATGCCTTACGGCCTAAGTGGATGAACACTTAACACAACGACCCACTAGGGCTCGAATTTAATGTCTAGGGAAGCTAGTGATACTATTGTAATTAACACTCATCCAATCTACATACGACCTTTTAATCAGCGAACTCAGAAGTGGCAGAACACAAGGTTGAACTAAATAAAATATTTAATGTATAAAATATCAAAACCCAACTTACACAATGTAGGAAAAAACACTATCACAGATTTCTACACTGTCTAAAGAACAGCTACAGGCCACACAACACTGCTGTAGCTTCAAGACTTACTTAGCGACAAGTAATATTAAACTAGAAGACTAAATCAACTGAAGAAAGCAAGGCACACACAGGTCTTAAGTACTCTCACGTTCAAATGGTCAGAGTCTATAGCCGGACAATATGGACGGCTGCCTGATCAAGGTAAAACGGCCTGTAGACTGCCTGATCAAGATAAACTGCCTCGTGTTGCGAGTGTGCAGTGCAATTAAAGACTTCTGTGACAGGGGAGGTTATCCTCAACTCATGTCGCCATTGGTTGGGATAATCATCTGATCAGAATCATTCAATCAGATTTTAATGGAAAATTTCTATGTCTCAAACACCTTAATAAGTCAGTGGAAAAACCCCAGGTGTTACACCATCATTCCATATAAGGAATTATACAATGTCAAAATAAAAATGACTCGACCTAAGTAGGTCACATCCCCTCCCTTTTTGGAAGTGACAGATAGGTTCCACAAAAACATACATAAGGAACCAATCTGGCAATGAAATAACAAAAATTTTTTACAAATGTAGGCAATCAAAATCATAACACCAGATGAAAATATCCCTGAACATAAAAGGGAAGTAACTCCAACTTTTACAATTGGTGAAAGGGGAGTAACCCTTCAAAAAGTAATTATACATCAAAATCCCTCAGGAAAGGGTATTACAATATTTCCATAAGAATATTAAAAGTGGTAAACCCGCCAGGGTAAGACCTTTATTTCAATGACTAGCTACAATATCAATTGAGTCATATGAGACATTTTATTATAAAAGATTACATATAATCAAAAACCACCTTTAATTAAGGTTCACCTGAAAATAAACAAAATATTCAACAGGATTGGAATTTTGAAAAAAATTCAAAACTCACACCACTCATTTTCATATGAGTGACACTCAAACAAAACCTGTTTATGGTCCTAATGAACCACAAAGCATGTCACATGATCAATGTGTGTAACAAGATTTTACATCCTTGACAAACAATCAGCCACAACATTATCACTACCCTTAATGTGTGAAATTTCCAGATTAAAATTTTGGAAATATAAGCACCATCTCAATATTCTTTGATTTGTCTGTCCTAACTTAGAGGTAAATTTCAGGGGATCATGGTCAGAAAACACTGTGACTGGATTGGTTGAAGAAGAGACATAGACTTCAAAATGTTGTAATGATAAAACCAAAGCTAAAGCTTCTTTTTCAATAGTAGAATAATTCTTTTGGTTTTCATTTAACTTCCTGGAAAAAAAGGCAATGGGATGGTCAATTCCCATGTTGTCTTCTTGAAATAGGACTGAGCCAATGGCTAAGTTGCTAGCATCAATGGCAAGGTTAAAGGGTTTGCTAAAATTTGGTGCAGCCATAACAGGAGCATTTGATAAAAATGACTTAATGGTTAAAAAGGCTTCTTGACATTTATCTGACCACTCAAACTCAACACCCTTTTTCAATAATGCAGTAAGAGGTTCAGCAATAGCTGAAAAGTTTTGACAGAACCGCCTATAGTAACCAGCCATCCCAAGGAACTTTTTGATCTCTTTACAATTTTTGGGAGGTGGCAACTTTACAATAGCATCTACTTTAGCTTCAATGGGCCGAACTTGGTTCGTTCCCACTTGATAACCCAAATAGGTAATTGAAGCTTTACAGAAATCACTTTTATGTAAGTTTACAGTAAAATTAACTTCAGACAATTTTCTAAAAAGGTTAGTCAACTGAACAATATGTTCTTCAAAAGTATTAGAAAATACAACTATATCATCTATGTAGGCCTCACATTGGTCTATGTCAGCAATGACAGAGTTAATGACCCTCTGGAAAGTTTGACCAGCATTTCGCATACCAAAGGGCATACGTTTGTATCTATAAAAACCATTAGGGGTTACAAAAGCAGATATTTCTTTTGCACGGTCAGATAAGGGGATTTGCCAGTATCCTGAAAGTAAATCAATTTTGGAAATTATCTTAGCCTGACCAACTTTATCAATAACGTCTTCTATCCGAGGTAATGGATAGGAATCAGCTTTGGTGAGCGCATTCACCTTCCTAAAGTCGGTCACAAACCTGAAAGATCCACCGTCTTTCGGGACTAGGAGACATGGGGAACTCCAGTTGCTGAAACTGGGCTCAATGATATCATTCTTGAGCATATAATCAATTTCATCTTTTATCAAAGCAGCTTTTTCCGGATTAACTCTATAGGGGTGTTGTTTAATGGGTTTTGCGTCACCTACGACTACATCATGAGGTGGTACTTTCGCTTCTTTGGGGACATCCCCAAAAATAGAGGGAAATGTCTCAAATAACTGAGACAACCTATGGCTTTCCTCTGTGGACAAATGCATAAGGTGGACATTCAAATTATCTAAGAAGGAAGAATTTACCAATTTTGGGGGTTTCAATTTATCATGTATCACATCATCAGAAACATTTGAACATACAGGTAAAGTAATTTTAGCTGTGGATTGAAAATTGTTACAATTATCATAATATTTTTTCAGTGAGTTAACATGATACACTGTCTGTTTCTTTCTTCTGTCGGGCGTATTGACAACATAGTTCAAATCACTTAATTTTGAATGCACAGTAAAGGGTCCACAATATCTCAAGGATAACGCATTGTTCAGATTAGGTACTAACACAAGAACTTTGTCGCCTGGATTGAATGTTCGTTTACAAGAACTCTTATCATACAGTCCTTTCATTCTCACTTGGGCCTTTCTTAAGTTCTTGTGAGCCATTTCGCACACGGCTTTCAGTCGAACGTG